ACTAGGAGTTAAACCAATCTTATTAGTGGATTTGTTGTTCAATCGATATCAGTTAATATTGAATATGTTAGGGCCCAGCATATGTCATAGTAATAATATTGCTATTATTAATTTAAGTTCTTTTATTCGGTATCATGTTTCATTGCTTTTAATTTTCAGTGCACCACCCAGAGTCACTGTTGTGAAATGAGTGGCTTTTATAACTTGTATATGTATGTACGACTCTAAATAATTTGTACAGAGACAAAAAAGGAAATCGAATTTTTGTGGTTTATAAAGAGCAAGTCTGGGCAGAAGGTGCATAATGAATCAGAAACTTAGAAATGTTTTATGTTGACAACATTTTGCCTTACTGGGTGGGGGGGGGAGAGGGGACTATATATTTAGGTTGCAGTTGCAACCAAATTCATCATTTCAAGCAGATTGCAGGAAGTGTTCAAACGGGTTTTTGAAAATTGGTTTATTCTTGTGCCTTATGATTAGATGGCATATTTCCATTTTTTTTTCTCCATCCTACAGCAGCAGAGACCAGCAGTGAAACATATGTGTGGCTAGTTATAAGACTGCTTGAAGCTACATACCTGCTAAGCCTCCCAATAAATGACCACTAGGGGCCTTTTTTAACATTATTTATATCTGATCACATGTATATTGTGCTATGCTTTATTTTACGGGCAGGTCATGCAAAGATCTGGGTACTAAAATACTCTGCATACAGCTATGCATAAGCTAATATTAGCTATGGCTAATGTTGATATTCTATAAATGCAAAAGCTATAGATACAATTTTCTTATGCTTGAGTGAGTACTCAAGCTCTGGTTGCATGGGAATACTTGGCTTGTTTTGAAATTCAGCTTTCAAGATATATACAGGTAGATCTCAATTAATGACTGTCTTGTTTAGTGACTGCTCAAAGTTACAACAGCATCAAAAAAGTAATTTTTTATCATCACTCCTTACATTTATGTCCATTGCAGCATCCCCACAGCTCCTGTTTGATATTCAGGCACTTTACAACTGGCAGGTATTTCCAAGTGTTGCACCATCTTAAGTCCCATGATTGCCATTTGTACATGCCCGAACCATCTTCCAATATGCAGAATCAATTGAGAAGCTGGCACTAAAATTACATGTTACAATCACATGAAGTCTCACTTAATGAACTACTGTGATTTGCTTCACAACTGAATGGGATGTGATGTTACAAGCTGTTTGTGGTCATGTGGTGTTTTGCTTAGCAACTACGTTGTTTAGTGATGGAGTTTCCCGATCCGAATTATGGTCATTAAAATGAGGACTACTTGTAATACATTTTCAAATGCAAAGGCGACATTAAATTGGACTAGTTTGTTGACTTTGGTGTATATATATGAATGTATATATGGATCTTGTGCATGCCTTTATATCTTGATGTTGCAATATTAATATTATTCTTACTGTTAGTAAACACATTTTGAGGAGGGATTGTTTTGTCGTTGACATCTAATAATTCCTATTCTTGTATTTTAAAAAAAAGTCAGCGAAGAGTAACACAGTTACATAGATGAATTTGTATCTGACAGGCAGGCTGATAAAAAATGGGGGGTGTTAATTTTTTCTAAATGGGTAGGTGAAAGTATTTATACAAAAGTTGACAAAGGGTAGAAAAAAATTTTTTTTTAATAATTGAGGATTTTGGAGGAGAGGAATGGGATGTGATGAATTACACAAATTACAATTAAGGTGCATTTGAAGATTTCCTGTTTTCATTGCTCCAGGATCTTTTTGGAATCTACCCATCAGTGAAATCATACCTCAGACCCCTGGTCTTCATCCAGGGTGGTTTGAATATACAGTAGCTGTCCCAGAAATTATAATAGATAGAATAGAATTCTTTATTGGCCAAGTGTGATTGGACACACGGGAAATTTGTCTTGGACACACACATAACCTTGCTATGGAACGACCACTACTTTGTGAAATGTGAAAAACTGCAGAAGTTTCAGTCTGTAAGGACCAAACTGGATACTCCAATTTTGGAAGATGACAGAATCTGTTGCACTGCAAACTATTCTAGAGATGTTTTTGTCAGTCTGAACAATCTTGCTATTTCATTTCATTTCATTTCATTTATTGGATTTGTATACTGCCCTACTCCCGAAGGACTCAGGGCGGCGAACAGCCACAGAATAAAACACATAAATACAAAATTTAAAAACAGAATAAAACCAAATTAAACAATTTGGCCGAGACAAATTTAAAACACCCAATAATTTTAAAAACAAATTAATATTTACATTTAAAGGGGAAAGATTTAGGCCAGGCCGGCTTGATGGAATAAAAAAGTCTTGAGAGCACGACGGAAGGTGCGCAGATCCGGGATCCTCCATATCTCCGGGGGGAGCTCATTCCAGATAGTAGGTGCCCCCACAGAGAAGGCTCTCCCCCTGGGGCCCCCCAGTCAACATTGTTTGGCCGACGGCACCCGGAGGAGCCCCTCTCTATGAGAGCGTACCGGCCGGTGGGAGGCTATTGATGGTAGCAGGCGGTCCCGTAAATAACCAGGTCCTAAGCCATGGAGCGCTCTAAAGGTGATAACCAAAACCTTGAAGCGCACCCAGAAGACCACCGGGAGCCAGTGCAGCTTGCACAGGAGAGGTTTTACATGGGAATGCCACATCGCTCCCATAACCACCCGCGCGGCCACACTCTGCGCCAGTTGGGGCCTCCGAGTGCTCCTCAAGGGGAGCCCCATGTAAAGAACGTTGCAATAGTCCAGGCGGGAGGTGACGAGGGCATGAGTGACTGTGCATAAGGAGACCCAATCTAGAAAGGGACGCAACTAGTGAATCAGCGGACCTGATGAAAAATCCTCCTGGTCATGGCCATCAAATGCTCTTCTAAAGACAGCCGTGAATCCAGGAGGACACCCAAGTTGCAAGCCCTCTTCGTGGGGGCCAGTGATTCGCCCCCAATAGTCAGTGATGGTGCCAACTGATTATATCGGGATGTCGGAAACCACAGCCACTCGGTCTTGGATGGGTTGAGCCTGAGCCTGTTTCTTCCCTGATCAGCTATCAGCAACTGGGTTGACATATGGTACACAGGGCAGTTTCAAGGGATGGACCACAATGACAGGTGAACCGAGTAACAATGACGTACGTGCTGCGATATCTCTGACTGATGCTGGAGGCATTGTCATAAGGCCTATGCTGTGGCAATCACAGAAGAGAAAGGCATTGGATTTCCTCTATAATTACATCCACAGAGAACCATCAAATAGAGATTTTCAGGGCTTCAAGCTATCTGAGTTCCATTATGAGCAGTTTGCACAGTTCTTCAGAGATAAAATGACTTGGATTCATGCTGAGTTTGATGTCACTTTGGGCAATGCTGTACCTAATATGTTCGCTGCACTGTCTACTAATACCTGTCTGAATCATTTCTATTGCTCGTCCCCTGAGGAATTAGATGAGGTTCTTCTTTCTCTTTGTGCCATTATTAGAAAATAATGGTTCCTTTTTATATGCTGACTATTTGCCTTAGGGTTTATTTAAAGAACAGAAAAGATTTCTGTATGAAGAGAGTTTTGCTTGCAGGTTCTAATCTAGACGTATTGATTCAGTTTAGTAAATCTAAGCTAGTAGTTACTGTTACAATATTATTGTAAAGTATGTGGAGATTTTCTACAAAAGAAGATATGCAATGTTACAATAAATGAATAAACAGTTTACCCGTTCAGCTTTAAAGAACTCTATGGAGTTCCAGGGACAGTAAGAAAAGAAAACTGTTCAACATTAAGAGAAAATTTTCATACAGACATTGTTTCTAATCACTAATAACACTACACAAAGCAATGTGTAGATGACTCATGGTTTCTGCATGCTGTGAACAAGAAGAAAAACTACAACACAATTTGCTGCTTTAGATCTTATCTTGGGGGGAGGGGGATAACTCCTTCACCCGACAAATCATGAAGGAGAAGGAAGAGGAGGAAGAGAAGGAGAAAGAAGAGTCAGTTTCAAACACACAGTGAGTCAGAAGTAAATTCGAAAACAGTCAACAGTGTGAGGCCAGAGATCAGCCATCACTAAGTCCTTAGTTGGAAGCAGTTGCATTTTCCCTTCTGTTTATTTTGTATTATTGTTTCCACATTAAAACCATTTTTTAAAAGTTGAATTAATAACTTTCTAAAGAGCCACAGATTCAGGCTGTAGTTCTAAGCACACTTGGGGGAGTTAATTCTACTGAGTTAATAAAACTTCTTTAGAATAATTCAGTCTGCTGGGTTGCTTATGTAGGCATGAGGTCAATATTTTAAATCATGCTAATTCAGCAGCACGAAATACCACAACACTTCTTCCATTTTCTGGGTTCAACAAGGGCTACTATTTTGCACACAGATTAGTTAAATACAGCTGAATTCAATGGAATGCAGCTGTAGATCTCTCTCTCTCTCTCTCTCTCTCCCCCCCTCTCTGTCTAGTCATAAGAGGATCAATTTTCCCTTGATAAATTATGCTGCTTTGAGTTTAATTCCAAAAGATTCCAAAAATACCTACGTTAAGATGTCTAGCTAGGGAGTGTGCCAATTTGGAATGGAATAATGCTTAATGCTTACATTTACACATATAGAGCTTACAAGTATGCTCTTCAGTTTCTCCACCTCAAATTCTTAGTCTAAATTATGAAAACCTGCTTCTTTCTTTTTATATATAAAATATTGTGAGACAAATCAGAATGCACACTTTTTTGGCTTCGTTTCAAGATAACTTACTTCTTTCTTGGATTGGGTAGAGTGGAAGATGAAACCACAGCAACCATACAATTGAGCTCCAAATTCATTTAGACTTTTTTTTTTGACCTAAAGAACTAATCAGATTAGTTTTTAGAGAATCTATATCAATGCAAAATATTGAAAAATCTTTTCTTCTAGAAATATACATTATGGATATAATTCTTGTATTCAGTAACTGTTTTTTTTGTATCCTTTTTAATGCTATTCTATTTTTCTTTCCAGATCCTGAAGATGAAACTCAAAAACTTTGGCCACCTAATGAGAAGGAAGGACTCACTGGAGAAGTGCCTAATGCTGGGAAACATTGAGGGCAAAAGAAGAAGGGGATGACAGAGAATGGATGGTAGAGGACAGGTAGGCCTGGAGGAACATTGTCCATGGGGTTGCGATGGGTCGGACACGACTTCGCAACTAACAACAACAATTTTTTCTTTCTTTTTATAAATAAAGATACTTGTGCCTTCAAATCATGTTAATACCTGGTAATTTTTCTGGACAATTCCCTATAGTTTTCTTTGAAACATTTTCTGAAATAGTTCATTATTGCCTCTTTCTTAGGGCTGAGAGAAAGTGGCTGTCTAAACATACCAGTTGGCTTCATGCCTAATGTGAGGCTCACTATTCTATTTCTATTAGTACTACTACTATTGTTTGCTATGATACTAGTACAATAAAAAAAAAACTTCAAAGACAAAGGGATAAGTTGTAAAATTATGCATGACTTCATAGGCAAATGCTAAAATAATTCATTCTATTATTTAATGGATTTAATGGAGCATCATTTATTTATTCATTATTTAACAGATTCCCCATTTGACCTGATTTGGGATGCAACAATCAACATACATCCAGATGCTATTTCCTACTCAAAGTAAATAATCACAGTAATTCATACAAGGCATATAAAATATATGTTAAATTATTTAAGTAATATGCATTATTGAGACAAATGCTGTAATTCACAACTTTTGACTAATATCATTATGGAAATTATATAAATTACTGCCCATGTATTATTTTTGTGGTACAATGTCATATGGTCTTTCAGAAGGAACGGACCTTCCTTTTCTCAGTTCCAACATTCAGTTGAGAGTTCACCAGATTTCATTTTCAAAATCTCTAGCCTTATATTAGAGCACTTTATCTGTTTCCTAGAATGGGAGTTTTCTATATAAGCACCTATGATTTAGAACTCTTTTCTGAAAGAAGTCTGTTATCTTTTCAATTGCCTATTGCTTAATTTCTAGAAACAGATGTTCTGCTCTGGAGTGGGAATTGCATGACTTCCATAATTGGCTTCATTTCTGACATTTTCCTGTTTAGCTAAAGCTGCACAGACTCAATTGGGAAATGTGCAAAATGCCAGATGGAACCAGGTGGCAAGGTCATAATCCCTTAACACCCATTTAGTGTACATGGAAACATTGTCTACACAAAACGCCAGGTCCCAGCTACTAAGCTATGCAGAAATGAAGTGTTCAGGGTGGACTTCTCTCTTTTAAACTCTGTGCTTAAAGAAAAACAAAATAACTCTGAATAAGACCCAGTACAAGTATAATTTTGTCTTTTCTATTAATGTTTTGCCAAAATCTGTACTGTAACTAATACAAAAGTCTCTAGGTTAAAGGACTCTTTTTTTTTTCAATTCATTCTGAAGGTTGTTTTTATATTTCTTAATGGGAATAGTTTTGAATTGGATGTAGGAAAGGGTGCTCCTCTTTTTTTCTCTTACACATCTTTCCATTATGCTGAAATCTCTTTGCCTGCCCACACTTTCCAACTTTCCTTTGGGCTTAATTGAAGAATGGAAGATCCAGGTAGGCTGTAGACTACTTAAGACAGGGATCTCCAATCCCCAGGCTGTGACAGACTACTGGGCTGCAGCCTGTTTGGAACCAGGCCAAACTAGGCTGCAGGTGAGTGCATGCGTGTGTGCGAAGTTCCCCTTGTTCGAGTGGTGGCCATCTTGTCCTCATGTGGAAGCTCCCCTCATCCGAGTAGCAACCATTTTGCCCTCGCACGCAAAGGTCCCTTTACATGAGCAGCAGGCACGTGCGACTGCTGCTCACACAAATGGAGCTGTGCATGCATGCATGCACTCTTCTACCACTCACAAGGAACTATCCCTTCTCCTCCCCTGCCTGGCCACCAAGCCAGAAAGGTTGGGGACTGCTGACTTAAGAGACAATTATATAGGGAAAGTCAGAATATTTCCTCACATCTCTTGCTTATCCCATGATATACAAGTAGAATAGATCCATGTGCACAAACATACCCCCCAGGTGAATTTTATCAAAATTCTCTACTCCTTTGGGGGGGGGGAAATGGAGGGAAAAATAATTTCTCTTTCATCAGATTGAAGAATCTGGTAGAAACAAAGCAGGAGAGGTTTTTCTGCTAGGCACTGCTTTTTATGTTTCAGAAAAGAGCAGCAGCATTAAAAATAGATACTGAGGCTTCATCCTCAGGGACTTTGGTGAAAACAAAAACAAGGCGCTGTTCATTGGGGAAAATAATCTGTTCAATAATCTGTTCATGAATTGAAGCTGCTGGTAGTTGTGATGTGAATGCTTATAGCTACCATTTATAATTTGAACTACAATGTTTATTATTTTAGTTTGTCACACAGTCAGTCAGATGTTCAGGCTGGATTTGACATTTTTATCCACCTATCAGGTCTTTCTCAAGAACCTGGGATAAGCAGATGTGGATGAGTTAAAGGTATCATTGCAGGATGCAAGCTGTTCTGAGTAAAGCTGCCTTTTGCAATTGATTGATGGTGATTTTGTCAATGCCAATGGTGTTCAGGTGGTGTCCAGTTGTTTATTAATAATTTGAATTTTCCCAGTTTTCACTACCGACATGGAAGGAAGATATGATAAGTTTAAAATGCAGGGAACAGAGTTGGGGTAATTTATCATATCTTCCTTCCATGTCTGTAGTGAAAACTGGGAAAATTCAAATTATTAATAAACACATAGGGCTACAAATTTCCCCTCCACCTTGAAGAGTGGATCCTTAAATAGCAGTCTTAAAGTCTTTGAGTCATTGTTCCACTAGAATTGAAAAACAGATTGCTTATCCAACTCTTCTCCTTCCATTTTTAAGTCACAGTAATGATATTAACAATGAATGAGAATTCTATTGCATTCAAATTTTTAAAAATAGTTTATCAAACATTGCATTTTTCCATGAACAATGTGGAATTAATCAGAGGCTTTAACTAGATGACTTGACAGATTTATTCACCCTTTTACCTATTAAAAAGAAAGACATTTCAACAACAAAAAACCATTCTGAGAGACAAATTAGCTTCTCTGCAAGCTTTGTACAAGAACTCATCTCATTTTTATATCAAGGTGGTACTTTTAGCTCTGAGTCCTTGCATTTCTCAAAAGTTCTCAGGATTAAATAAATCAACACAATAGATTTTTTTACTTTTCATGTTTCCTAAGAACATAATGTGAATTCCCTTCCTGGGTATGACAAGAAAAGATGGGCTAAGAGAGAATAACTGGCCCAAAGCTCAGTAGCAAAATGTAAAATTTGTTACTACCGGTTCTGTGGGCATGGCTTGGTGGTGGTGGGGTAATATGACTGAGTGGGCATGGCCAACTTTTTTTTTTTAACTTTTAAAAGCATTTTTTCTACAACCTCTTCGGCTGAAGAGATTGTTAAAAAAATGCTTTTAAAGCCTCTGATGATCCCAACTGACTTGCCTGATCAGCAGAGGCTTTTTTTCCTTTTAAAAACATTTTTTCTATAACCTCTTCGGCCAAAGAGGTTGTAGAAAAAAATGCTTTTAAAAATTAAAAAAAAAGCCTCTGATGATTGCGCGGCTCAGCTGGGCAATGGGGGGGGGGCAGGGATTTTTGCTACTGGTTCTCCGAACCACCCGCCTCCATTGCTACCGGATCGAGTGATCCGGTCCAAACCGGGAGCATTTCACCCCTGCCAAAGCTACCTAGTTAACTTTCATTAAAAGATTGTACTTGAAGTTGGATGTCTTCAGTCCTAGTCTATACTTACACTACATATTACACTACATATTTTACTATTTAAATCATTGAATTACATAATTTACGCTAAACTAAACTAAACTTTGTATCAAGGCTTCAGTAATGATTATGTATCATATTTCAGTTGTAGGGCCCTTTAATCCCAAGAATGGATTTCTTGCACTTCACTTAAAAAGCTAGACATGTTGTCATGCTACTTTCACAGACAGATACTTTAATGAGAAATGGGGTCCTTGACACTTTTGGCGAGTATTTGATTGATAGTGTTTGCCTAGCAATACATTACTGATTCTGAGAGAAAGGGCCTATCTTCATTTTAGGCTGATTAAAAAGTAAGAGCTTGTTGTCAGGTAAGAACTGTGCTGAAAGATTGAAACAACTAGAAGAAAATAGGAAACAAAGAAATTAAGAAGACAAATCCCTTTTTTGCACCCAAAAGAGTAAAGATCATCGCTATATATTAGGTTTTAACTGATAGTAATTCAAGCACTGGAATTCTTGCAAGTTTTAAGCCATTCATTCCCCCCCCCCAAAGAAAGAGGGGGGGGAGGGAGGGAGGGAGGGAGGGAGAGAGGGAGGAAGAGAGAGAGAATTCTATGAAATTTGAAAAAGTTGAGAGAACTAGGTATGTTTAGTCTAATGAAGAGAAAAACTAGATGGGACATGATAGTGCTAGTATTTGAGAGTCTCTTGCAGAAAAGAAGGAGTCGACCTATTCTTCAAAGTGCCTGTGGGCCTGACAAGAAATAATAGGTGGAAGATCATTAAAGAGAGATCCAATCTAAAACTAAGGAGAAATTTCCTGACAGTGAGAACAATTAATCACTGGAACAACTTGATTCCAGAAATTGTAGGTGCTCCATCACTGGAAGCATTTAAGAAGAGATTAGACAGCGATTTGTCTGAAATGGTATAAGATCTCCTGTCTGAGTTCCAAAGTCGTTTCCAACTCAGTTAGTCTATGTTCTACGGTCATATTTAGAAAAGCACCACTTTTGGTTTCTGGAAGCAGCCAAAGAGTTGACTTTGCAATTATAAAAAGATTGGCTCCTGAAAAAATAAATAAATCTGAAAACCATTATTTGGAAGTTGACCATAAATACTGTATATCATGCTCTACCATGGAATCTAAGCCAGTTTATCCAGTGTAGACTTCTACTCTTTACCAACTGTTGGGTGACATTCCAAACTTTCCAAATCCATTAAGAAGCCAGCCCCCAAAGTTAGATGTTATTATAATATTTCTTTCACATTAATCTATTCAAATGCTGGAAGCCCAGTAAGAACTGGTATAACATAATAATAAGTTTAACTAGTTACGACAGTGTTAAAACATAACATATGTTTTTAACAGGCATTATGTTAATAATGAGCAAAATTTTAATCAATGTGGCAGGAAATTACCAGGAAAAAGAAAGTTACTTTTTGGCTTTCTCTCAGATTTTTATTATCAGAAATTTGTGATTATTTTCTATGTATTACATCTTAAGAATCATAGTTGTTACATGAGAAACATAGTTGCATTGCAAATATATATCAGGATAGAAACAAATAGTCCAATAAGAGCCTTTAAAAGATATGTTAAGATGAAATGAAAGACACCCCTCCTCCTGCCTCTATATTTGTAGATGTATTTGTAAAGTTTCCAGATAAAACACATCCAAAGGGCTGAATTGCAATAAATCATGAGTGGAACAGAAATAGATAACCTTAAAAAGAATTTTTGTTTTGTTTTTCTTTTTAAAAGAAGAGATTTTGCATTTCTGTTGCCAGAACAAATTTTATTGTTAAGCTCTCAAGCTGTTTCAAACATTTTAGCTCCTTAAGTATACCAGATGGAGTGAATAAACAGATTCTTTATACAAGATAGAAATATATCTCACATGAATAAATATTTTTTTCTCTCTCTCTCTGCTGGAATACAGCCATTAATTGCCCCCATACTGAAGCAATGTACGAAGCCAGAGAGTGACAGAGAATTACTCCAGCAAATAAGAATCTCCAGCAAAACAGTAACTGGATAAATGCAACTCACTATATCATCAGCTAATAGGTTTTCTTCATCCTTAGGCACATTTGTCCTTGCTGTTAAATCAACATTCAAGCCAAGAATAATCTGCTTTGACTCTTCATATATAGCCAAAATTCAAAGGAAACATGAATAATGGTGACGGATACTCCATATGCTATTTATCAATATCTGAAGTTCCATAGGTAGCCTAACCATGAACTAAGTTATCTGATTTTATTTTGCACCTGCTGTGTCCATAGAAATGATCAAATCTTGAAAAGGAAGGGAAAAATTAAATAATAGTCTAAATAGGAGTTGAAGTATAATTGCTAATATGAGGAAACAAAAATTGTAGAAATGAAAGTGTGTACACTGGTATTGTTATGTATATATGTAAATAAATAAATAAATAAATATTAGAAGTATATGTATAAAAATATACTAGAAAAAAGGGAGAAAAAATGTATAAGTATGAAATTTTTGACTGATGCGAAACAGTTGAAACAGAAAAAGTGTTAAAGCTTTCTTTTTGTTTTTAGAAAAATGTTTAATAAAAATTATTTTAAAAAAAGAAAAAAATTATCAAATCTTGAAATCACCGCCACCTCAGAAATATTTGAGCAATTAGCCTACAAAATCATAAAATGGTCTTGTCCTATATCTTATTGAGCCAGGAATTGTGTGATAGGCATTGGGTGCCAATGACTTCAGCTATTGATAGCTAATCTTACTTACCAGGCTAACATATACATCATATATAATGCTGCCCATAATTGCAAGGCTATGAGGAGTCTCATGAAAGCTTGGTTAGAATGCAGTATTGTAGGCTAATTCTGCCCACAGCCTGGAGTTTGAACCTGACAGGGCTTGAGGTTAACTCAACCTTCCATCCTTCCAAGGTTGGTAAAATGAGGACACAGATTGTTGTAAGAGCAATATGCTGACATTGTAAACCACCAGAGAGTGTTGTAAAACACTATGGATCTGTATATAAGTCTAAATGTTATTGTTATTGCTACTAGCCCTTTAATAAAATGAGTTGAAAGAGTTGCTACCAAACTCCTTCTGATTTTTTTGTTTACCGACATCAATTAACACAACTCTCCTCCTACAAATTTACTGACCCAATGTACCAATCACTCCAGAAATCTGACAGTGATTTATATAGAAAATAAACTGAGCCAGAGTCCAGCAAAATATTCACACTCTGCCTGTATTAGACTTTACAGATGGAAAGGATGAGAGGAATATTATCACAATAGTTGGAAAAGATATTAGAAAGGAGGTGTGTCTCTTGTCTTTTAAGATGGAGAATCAACAGCAAGTGCACAGATATTGCCCAATAAATTTCCTAGGCATTATCCTGCTCATACAGAATGAAAAATCTCATCCATTTTGTTCTTTCTTAGTTATTTATTTCTTTATTTGATTTAAAAGCCACACATCTAGTGACTCTGGATTGCACATAATGATTAAATATACACATATATACACGTAATATATAACTCTAATTGCCTGCCCCCCCTCTCTCTCACACACACACAGAGAGAGAGAGAGAGAGAGAGACAGAGAGAGAGAGACAGAGAGCACATGAACAGCAGTTCATTTATTCCAATGATCCATATGCTTGTTCATAGAGACATGTTGAATCATAATTATCTATTGTCTATATAGAATTTTAAAATAAAATAACTTATGTTACTTCCTCCTCCTCCTCCACCTCATCATCATCATCATTATTATTATTATTATTTTATTCATTAAAAATGAAACTCCGTCAACTGGACATTTAAAAATGTGTCACAAATACCATTGACTGGTGTTAATGGTTGATACGGGTTGCTGCCAGAATCCTAGGTATCAACCAAGTACCTTCTTAAAATATATGATGTTCCAAGTAGCGCCGTTTTTTGCAGTTCCGCTGGTGTTATTGCAGGAAGCTGCAATTTCTTGAAGTGTTTTGTGAAATTCTTGGACACGGTACCAAGTGCCCCGATAACAATGGGTATCATTGTGACATGTTTCATCCATAGCCGTGTAGTTTCTATGGCCAGGTCACGATATTTCATGATTTTTTCCAGTTCTTTTTCTTCAACTCTGGCATCTCCTGGTACCCCGATGTCAATAAATTGTACGTTTCGGTTTTTGACAACTACTACTTATTCTTATTCTTCTTATTCTTATCATCATCATCATCATCATCATCATCATCTAGAAGTTGAATGGAAAAAAATAATTATATCTAATCTGTATCTCATCCCTATCATCTATTTATCTATCTATCTATCTATCTATCTATCTATCTATCTATCTATCTATCTCAAAATGGCTTGCAATTAGCCTTTTTAATTCATCCATGACTTCAGAAAATAAACATTTCTTATTATTTATTATTTAGAATATGGAGACTACTTGCCTATAAAGTCACCAAGAGTCAGACATGGTTAAAACAACAACATATAACCACCCATCTTATAACAAACTCTGAGCAGTTCCCAATTAAGATCAATGATCAATGATGTTCATTGTTGTTGTTGTTTTCTTGAGAAACAGGTGATAAATTTTTGTTTCTTATTTATTTCAGAGCGGCTTCCTTTTTAAAATTTACTCTGTGTTCTGTGTTTGTGTGTGTGTGCGTGTAAGTTTCTGATCTTTAGACTAAGAAGCTTGTGAACAATAGGGAACAAAGTAACACTGCTTCTGAACAATCAAACAGTGACACTAAAAGTAAAACTGAGATTTCATTTTCTTTGTCTGTTCCATTTTTTCTTCTTCCATTAAGTCTCATGATGGAAGCTGCAAGTGATGTTGGAAAGAGTGAAAAAGCAGCAATTTTTGAAGAAGGCAGAAACTTGTACTGTATGCATGACCTAATTCTCTACATACTTAGAAGAGTTCATTCCAGTTCAGCAATAGAAGAGAACTACAGCTAAACCCTATTCAAATCTTAGAGCAACTATGAGTACTTGCCACATATGGTCTAAGCTCGTCTTTCTACCTGCATCATTTAAATGTTTAAATTAAATCATTTAAACAAAGAGCCTTGATAGTACAGTGGTCTACGCACCCTGTTATTAACACAGCTGCCTGCAATTTACTGCTGGTTCAAATCTCTCCAAGGCTCAAGGTTTACTCAGCCTTCCATCCTTTCTAAGGTAGGTGAAATGAGGACCCAGTTTGTGGGGGCAATAAGCTGACTTTGTATAAATATACAAAAGTATGAAGGCTATTGCTTAACGCATTGTAAGCCACCCTGAGTCTCCGGAGAAGGGTGGCGTATAAATCAAATTAAAAAAAATAATAATAATATCAAGTGTTGTATATGTCCATGCTTCTGCAGGAAGAAAGCCTTTGTACACATGTTTGAATGTGCCTTGTTTTCATGAGAGTCATATTTCAATACCAATCAATCAGGAGGAAAATTTTACTATCACCACAGGCTGATGGTAGCTGATGGTGTGACAATATCTTTTGTCTATTCACACACACACACACACACACACATCATTATAAATCTGTTTTTCTTTAATGCAGTCCAAGATTCCTTACTACTGTTGCTGCATTCCACTAATGTAACTCTGAAACTTGTAAATGTGTAGACAAGCATATCTTAACACTGATTTCCCCTTTTCCAATTGGTATTTTTATTTTTAAAATTAAACCATTCTCAGTATAGAAGAACATGAAAACCAAAAATACATAATATTCTAGCAGGGTGACATGACATGTGGGGGGTATTGTGGCATTTAAATTTTCAGAAAACTTTGAAAAGATTGACATTTAGGTTTCCTTTTGAGAAAAGCTAATATTATTTTTGCCTGCTGTCCATCAGTAGATAGCATGAATGCAAATGGAAATTGGAAAATACTGAAATAAATATTGGAATGGAATTAATGCAGTCATGTCCATTAAGACAGAAATGCAGACAAAGGGGGAAAAGGAGGGAAAAAGGTTTAACAAGTAATGAATCTAGACTAGATATGTCAGTCACTTTGAAGCAAATCAAAGATCTGCTTTTTATGACTTCTTATTTATTTGATAAATCCAGTAAATTAAAATTAGTTACAAGGACTGGATGGTGCAATATGCAAAATAAAGAAAGCTAGACGATAGGCGGGCAGGCAGGCAGGCAGGCAGACAAACAGACAGACAGACAGATGATGGATGGACGGACAGACAAGCAGACAGACAGACCATTCTTAATATACTAAATTTTGCTCTAAAAAGATTATCTGCAAGAAGAAAAATAGTGATGATATTTGAGTCTCTGTGATGGCATTACCTACTTAGCTCTTCTGGTGATGGAATATCATCCAACTGAAAAAGGTTTCAAAATAAAAGAAAGGCAGCAATACATTCTTCTGCATGGCTTCTATAAATGTGACTTATCAGAAATAAGATTTTGTTGAATTTTCAAAAAAAACCATTCCTTTATTTATGAAAATAAAGGTTCCTAATGTATGGCATTATTTATTTCTGGGGTTTAAGATGTGCTTGCTTTCATTCTTTATAAAAAGAGCTTGTGCAGCAGCTACAACTTAATACCTCCTGAGGTGACTGGAATACAGAAGAACCCTAAGACGAAATATCAAAACAAAGATTAACCTACAAGTCAATAACTCTGGCTTGGTTTTACTTCACCCTGTTATTAAGACCAGCTGCCTGCAATTACTGCAGGTTCGAATTTCGCCAGGCTCAAGGTTGACTCAGCCTTCCATCCTTTCTAAGGTAGGTAAATTGAGGACCCAGTTGTGGGGGCAATAAGCTGACTTTGTATAAATATACAAAAGGATGAAGGCTATTGTTTAGCGCATTGTAAGCCGCCCTGAGTCTCCGGAGAAGGGCGGCATATAAATCAAATTTTTTTTTAAAAAAAATGAAACAAAAATTAGAATTTAAGCCAAAAAAGCATTTTAGTTGATTTTCAAATATATACAAATGTTTAAATCTGCAGTTCAGTAGGAAAGGGAGAAATTAATCCTTTTCTCCCTTCATGATCCAAATATAAATACATCAATCAACTTTTTTTCCAGAATAAAAGTTTTCTCCTGTCCTCATGTTTTCTGGAGATGCTTACTTTAAATATTATTTACTTATTTAATATATTTTTATGGCTGCCCATCTACAAAGGCACTCTGGATAGCAAACAGATGAAAGCAGGAATTGCAATCCATAACATTAAAGAAAATATCATAACAGACATAGTTGTCAGGGCCCCCAAAACAAATTTCACAAACCATGGACTTCCAATCACATGACAGTTCTAAGGTGTTAACCTTGGTGCCAGTACGTGTGGGGGGGGGGGAGCCAGTTTTTAGGGCTTTGTGGAAAACCAACAGGGTTACTGCTGGCCATATCTCAAGGAGTTGCTGTTCCACAACAACGGGCACTCAACCAGAGAAGGCAAACTTTTGAAGACCCAACTAGCACCATTGCTTTAATTATGGGACCTGCAACATGTCCACTTTGCCTCAATTGATGGGATGAGAACAGACCAGTGGTGGAATTCAATTTTTTTTTATTACTGGTTCTGTGGGCATGGCTTGGTGGACATGGCAGGGGAAGGATACTGCAAAATCTCCATTCCCACCCACTCCAGGGGAAGGATACTGCAAAATCTCCATTCCCACCCCACTCTGGGGGAAGGATACTGCAAAATCTCCATTCCCACCCCATTCCAGGGGAAGGATACTGCAAAATCTCCATTCCCACCCCACTCTGGCGGCAGCCAGAGGTGATATTTGCCGGTTCTCTGAACTACTCAAAATTTCCGCTACTGGTTCTCCAGAACCTGTCAGAACCTGCTGAATAGCACCCCTGGAACAGACTGTTGGAAGGAGGTAGTCCCACATTTGTTACACACTCAAACCTGTTATGAGCAGGAATTCTCCACATATTTTAATTAGAAATATTTTTTTTTATTTTTTTGCTTTTTCTGTCTATAAATGCAACAACTTCTGAAAAAAAGATCAAGATACTGAAAAGGTTCGCTATATGGGTTTGTGTGCTTAATATATACACGCATAAAGTGTGAGAGCTTCTTTTGGTTATTTATAATGTCAAGATTCTATAACAACACTAAAAGTCTTTACAGTCGATAGTTGTGCACATATATAAGTCAGCCAAGAACTGTTCTGATTCCAGCCAGTAACTAAGTTCATCTTGACCCACATATCTCATCACACATCTTTTTCCCCACATCAAAAAAAGTAAAATATTTTACTAGTGTTTTCTTAGGTCATTATACTTACAACTGTTCTGTCAACATTTCTGTGATTGACAGGTTGGTGGTTCTGCATTCAGAAGATTTTATCTAATCAGGCCAGCATGCTGCTACAATATTATCCCAAAGCAGCACAACAGTAGAATGACCTCCAATGAGAACACCATCTGTGACTTGAAGCACATAAGTTGTCGTTTTTAAAGCAGCATTTTTCTGCCTTGAAACAGCTTTTCCCTGTCCTCAGATGCAATGCCATGGGCACAGTGATGTATCAAAATTGCTCGTAGTTGCAAACCTCCTGTCAGGTGATCAACAGAGGACTTCTCTCACATACGTACTAAAATAGCACTGTCATCTCTCCGTCAACTCTTCTTTGTCACAGAATTCAAGGAGTTGAAATTTCAGAGAGCATTTAGTTCTACCCAGCAGACAGGATGGCTGGCGAGAGAAACATTAAAGTTAGGAGTTTAATTATTGTGAAAGAGTATTATTGGGGCAGGTGTTTGCATGAAAGTGAATAAACATAAGCTTGATGTAGGAATTAGCATAGTGATATGAATGCTGAGCTAATTAAGTCTCTCCACAGGTAAAAGCTGGTATCTGTAGCATACTTTTTTCACTACGGAGAGAGAATATGAGCCAAGCATACCTGAGCAATGTAGGCTAGATTTGGAAGAGAAAGAGTCAGAATTTAGTGTGAAATGTAAATTTACTGAAAAGGAAATTTAACACAAAATAGTTTGTCGCGGAAGTGAGTGCCTGCAAAGGCTCCTGGATTGGGGCTGAAAGGCAGAAGCGGAAGCAAAAGCAGGATGCTCCATCCCATATTTGCGTAAACCAGGTTGCCCTGATAGCCCACTCTCACCAGAAAAACACTTAGTCAGAATTTAGAGAAGAAGAAAGTGGTAAAATCCCTAAAATAAATCATAATCAACAAAGAGGCAGGCTATCTACAGACATGCAAATGAAGACAAGGGAAGAAAAATGTGGAGTCCCTGAGTTCCTCTCTAGTGATCAATATGCTTCCAAGCGCAGAAAGCCAATGCACACAAAGTTGATTTCCAGCATGAGTTCCAATACAGCTCTAAGACATCAAAAGATCCTTGAAAAGGAGAAGGGATCAATGTCTTCCCTTTTTCTGGAAATGGCAGGCATTTTCCCCCAGTTGTGTCACCAGTACAAACCATGAAAAAAGCATTAATTGGTCTGTCTCTTGGCTCTTAATTTTATTATGATTGCGTGTTATAGCTGTTTAGGTTTTCATTCCTTGCAGAGATCATATAAGGCCATCGTGATTTTGAATGAAACAGGGCAGTTAAGCAAGGACCACCCGTATGTGCTTGGACGTAAACCCCTCTGGAAAAGTGGGTTGAAGGAAGGTGTAATAATATACAGGTTGCCCTCAACTTACAACAGTTCATTTAATGACCATTGGAAATCACAACGGCCCCGAGAAAATGACTTATGACCATTTTCCACACTTACGACTATTGCAGCAACCCCATTGTCACATGATCAAAATTCAGAAGCTTGGCAACTGACTTGTATTTATGACGGTTGCAGTGTCCCAGAGTCATGTGATCACTTTTTGAGACTTTCTAATGAGCAAAATCAATAGGGAAGCCAGACTCACTTAACAGCCATATTACTAACTTAACAACTGCAGTGATTCATTTAACAATGGTGGCAAGAAAGGTAATAAAATAGGGAAATTTTGACTTAACAACTTTCTCACTTAGCAATAGAAATATTGCGCTTAATTGTGGTCGTAAATCAAGGATTAACAGTATATCATATATACTTATGGATAAGCTGACCCTTGAAATTTTCACGTGCTTCAATTTTCATAATTGGATTATCTGTGGGTAGCATAATTTTCATGACACTTTGGTTAAGAATTAGAAGGCTAGCTTATCTGCGAATGGGCTTATTTGCAAGTATATACAGGAACGTTTAAAAAAAATTACCACAGATACTCGCAGATAAGCCCATCCACAGATAAGCCAAACCCAATTTTCAGGTGTATTTTGCAATCTAAAATTCTCTGTAGTAAATAAATACAAAGAAATAGCAATAGTAATAGCATTTAGACTTATATACCACTCTACAGTGCTTTATAGCCCTCACTAAGCGGTTTACAGAGTCAACATATTGCCCCCAACAATTTGGGTCCTCATTTTACCCACCTTGGAAGGATGGAAGGCTGAGTCATCCTTGAGCATGGTGAGATTTGAACTGCCAAACTGTAGGCAGCTGGCAGGCAGCAGAAGCAGCCTGTAGTACTGCACTCTAACCACTGCACCACCATGGCTCATACACTATATTCTCATATATACATATATTCTTCTCTATAACGGAATAGGGATCTGCTTTGCTATATTCTCTTAATAGTTTGCTTCTAAGCATTTTAATTAACCTGAATTGGGGACCAAAAATATGACTTGTTCTAGCCCCCGAAAGAAATTGGTGACATTTTCTAGTAAACAAAATGTCAAGGAACTTTAAAAATAGCTTAAAATCTGAAAGGAAAACTGAAAGGTGCATTATTTTATAATGCATTGAAGTAGATCCATATAGTATGCTTTTTCCTGTCTTCTAGTCACATTTCCTTTGCCCCCTTTTCACTTTTTGCAAAGTGCCTTCTTTGTACATCCACTCTCTGCCCCCTGTACTTTTAACTCCTCTTTGGGTTTTTCATACTTTCTTCACTGAACTGACACTTCAGAGATGGGCAGCACTTCCTTTCACTTTATTGCTGATTGCATCCAATGACAAAATGCTACCAGTGTTTTTTTTTTTTTTCAAGTGACTGAAGAGAAATAGAGTAGGAAGTTTGCAATGGCAGGGTATAAGGAGAAAGTAAGACTACTGTGGGAAAGGGAAATGAATTCAAGTGGAAAATCCAAAGAGGCAAAAAAAAAAGGGGGGGGGGAATAAATAAAGCCTAATCTTTACAAATAATGTCATAACAAAAGTAGGAAAGAAATCTCTCCAGGATGTCTATCCAATCAAACTCTCTTGACTGGATGGATAGAGAACTTACACTGCTCAGTACAGAAAATGGGGTTTGAATAGCACCTAATGAAATTGTACAAAAAAGAATAGTTTAAGACCCATAAGAAGTAAAAAAAAAAAAAGAAAGAAAGAAAGAAAAAGAATAGGTATATTAAATAATAATTTTGTTACGGCTTTTAAGTCCATATATTTGGGTATGCCATCAAGCTTGTAAGCAACAGATCTATAATAAATTATTTCAAACCTAGTGGAATGCCAGAAGTACTGTATATTGATTGATTGATTGATTGATTTTCTATTCTGCCCATCTCCTCTACAAGATGACTCTGGGTGGTTTACAAATTATAATTATAAAGGAACTCCATCCAAGCCAGCTGCTTATTGTGATTTATTGTGGCTTCTTGAGAGGAATTTTAAATAAAAACCCTTATACGTTCTACTCAGGATGTTGAATGTTGATGTACTGAGAAATTTAAATGTGAAAGTGGCAACTTAAAACATCCCCTTAAGGACCAATCTGTCTGGGATATACAATTTTTAAAACATCCTTACCACCCTGGATTCAATAAAATTCAATGAATCAAAGACCTACATTTTCCTTCATTGTTACATAAACAGGCAACTTCAAGAGCCACTCCTTATGTCAAAATGACAAAAGCAGCATCACACCAACACAACACAATTTTTGTCCCTTTCATATCAGTGAGTGACATCACAATGCAGGTAATAAAAAAGACAGAACTTGTGCAGAGTTTGGTCATTTGCCATTTCTTCTTTCTCCATCTGCTGTCGCTGCTACTGGTTGTTTGAAACAGCCCACCTGATACCCTGCTGAAAATTGCCTCCATTCTTCAGAAAAAGGTCTATTTCTTTCATGCTTTGGGATCCCTTCAGTTATATTGTTGGTGTCATTTAAGAAGATCTTTTTCTCTTTAGGCTTCTGTGGAGTTCAAGAACGAAGTAGTTTGGACTTGGTTCCAGCAGCAAAGTTGGAGATCTTCATTTCCAGGAGTTTTGCAATTAATTCTCTTGCCTACATGGGACCCAGCCACTAAATTAACTGTCGTTAGTGATATATTAAGTTTTCAAGGTTCATGACAGATTTGGTTCCTCATCCATTCTGAGGCTGGCAGCAGACATTCCCATTGCCTCTGCAAATCAAACTGCCACTATAGAAGTCATGTATGTGACAGTGACTGTAAGTAGTGTTATGGCTGGCATAACACATTTGCCGTTATTAAAAATAAAATTTCAGCAGCCTGAAGTGACTTATCCAAGAGCGATAAGAATACCAGTGGTGACAGTTTAAACTGTTTTAGGTCTCTTAATGGAGGCAATTTATGATTTCATCAGAAATGGTCTTATTTGTATCCAAAGGTTCAAAGCAATCACAGCAATGACCTCACACAGCTAACTCAAAAGGAAGAACTTATGTGCACTTTGGGCTGTCACACAAACCACATCATGACAGAACATTTTCCTCTGAGGAAAAAAAAAGAGAGAAAGAGAAAGAAAGAAAGATTTAACTCATTGCTATCTTTTCCAAGAAGGTTTAGCCTTGCCTGGGTTTATTACATTTCTAAGTGAGAATTGGCCACAAATGTGTTGGATAGCAAACACCTAATGCCGTTATAATAATATATGTGGCAAATCATAGGACTGATTTGATTTTCTTCCTGAGAAGCTCCATCGAAATGAGTAAATTCTTACTTTCCAGCTGGAGAATGAGAAAAGGAGGGAGAGAGAGAACACATAATACTCTGCTGCATTATCACACTTTAGTCTCCTTCAGTGATCACTTGTGACATCTTATCTGAAATTGGTGGGAAAACTAATTAAATCTCATTCATAAATTCTTCAGGAGGCAAAAATAACTCAAAGAAATACTCTGTTTGATATCTGGATTCAGATTTGCCCTTGACACTTGCAAACCAAGGGCTATTTAGTTAGAATATATTGCTATATCAACTCTGAGTTCTGTTTTTTTCAACCAGAAACTATTGTCAAAAGTGTGAAAAAAACCGCAGTTCAGACTTCCAAATCCTTAGCAGATAAATCTTTCTCTAGAATTTAAAAATGACAATATTCTTCCTACAGTTAAATGCAGCTTTACATTTCAGCAACTTCTAGATACTTAAATTCTTTGCAAAATAAAGTTTTGTTTTTCATATGAGCTATATGTGTTGGCAAAGCATTGACAAACTAAATAAGAATTGTAATTTTCCTCCCAGATGCATTTAAGATGAATTATTATGTGTCACATTGTTTTATACCCAGTCATGCTCTAAGTCTAAGTCATAGCAATGCTGTGAAAATGGAACACAAGAGCATTAAATGCACAGATTAGATACAATTTATTTGCAGCTAATACAGCAGTCATCTGGTACAGATTTCTAAAATACTTTTTTACAGGTCTGGACATCTGTTGTAACCAAATAAGTATTTTCAATTGGTTATGATACTTTAGATTCCAATAATAGTTCTCACTATACTATGTTGAGAATGAGATGATAGTGAGTTAGAAAGAAAGAAATATATTAAACTATTATATGAATTGATACTTGTCCAAATGACATGTTACACAGATTTGTTTAACGATGGAATGTGCTTTTATCACTATTTGAAATAAAGGTAGTTAGAGTTGTTCAATTTGAAAGAGAGGACTTACGGAGCAAAAATGATAGAATAGGAGATATTTTTTTTAAAAAAGGGTAAAGATGACGACACAAAAAGCATACCATTTCTCTGGTCTCACAGAAAGACCAGCTCCTTCAGTCTTCTTTTCTCCATGAACATCATTTAATGTCTAGCATTTAATTTTAATAATTGAAATTTGACCATTGTTTTTCTTTCCTCTCCTTAACTGAACTTTTTCTGTGTCATGGGCTCTTGACTGCTTGTAAGCAAATGGTGCCTTTTCTTTTTTTTTGCCACTGACTGCAACGTAAGTCTGACAGGATCAGAGAAAAAAAATTATACTCTGTCTCTGTGTGTGTCAGTAAGATAAAAGGAATTGTGTGTGTGTGTAGGTAGACACACAAAACATAAACTATCCTTATAACATGATCCTGATCGGTGGCTATTATTAATGAACAATAATAAATAAAATAAAAATAATAGGGTACAAAGAAAGGCCCAAGCATGAAGGCAGCAGGCTGAGACTGCTAAAGCAGGGGTCTCCAACCTTGGCAACTTTAAGACTTGTGGACTTCAACTCTGAAGAACTCTGGGAATTGAAGTCCACAAGTCTTAAAGTTGCTAAGGTTGGAGACCCCTGTACTAAACTTCAGGCCCAATGCCATCACTGTCACCAAGGAGTGCCACAGTGCAGAGGAGACAGATGGGAGGATATAGGCAATTGGAGGGAATTGAAGAGGAAGTAGTCCCTTACCTTTGAAGAATATGGCCAGGAGAGACCAAGCCGGTAATAGCTAGTATCAGGATAGATCCTCACCTAATGACCCAATGAGATTTGTTTAATGAGGGCAACAGAAAGTGTCAGAACTACCAGCTAAACAGGGTGGCCAATACTTAACCTCAAGACTTAAATGATGGAATGGGCAGTCCCAATTGTGGTAGTTCAGCAAAATAGGATTTGCTAAAATATAGTTGGACAATATTCCCAAATCTCTGTCAGAATAATACATATTATTTCATCCTTTGATTAGCACAAAATATTGCTTTTTCCGACATGTTTAAATCATATACTTCCAAAAGCTGTTTCTTTACATTTGGAATAATATATATTTTTTTCAAGTTTTCAATGTAATTCTTTTTGCCAGCTCTCCCATGCTCCATACAATTATGATACCTGATAATCTTTCAGATTCCAAAGTGTTGAGATATAATTCAATATTACATCACCCTATTTAACATTTAAAGATTTTCCCATAAATAATCTTACGTACATTAAAATACCATTTAATAACTGTCTCATAAGGTAAATGAGCCTTCAGGTTTTTTTTTACATCTCCAACAAACAAAATCTAATATCCATTATTTTGATTCTTGATTTTTTATGATTTTATGATTTTTATATGATAAATCTGCATCTTAGATTCACAGAAAAAGATTGTCTGATTTGCACCATTACAGCTCATGTTTATAAGTCCTTAGTCTACAGTGTCTCCCAGAATATATACAGTATACGCAACCAGAAAATGTAACATTTTAACATGAGCTGAATATACTGTAAGTATATTTTTGGTATAGATTATCTCCATACTCCTTTATCCTATTAAAGGAATTTCTGCAGAATCTCAAATCATATCCACCAGATTTGCAGTGAGTGAGTAGACCATAGACTGTGCAAAAAAAGAAAGCTGTTTCAGAGAGTCACTTTCGTCTCCATGCAAAGCTCCCTGAGGAAATATTCTTGTAGAGACTGTCTCTGCATGAAAAATGGGTTGCTCAGAAGAGTGCTGCCGCAACTGAAGAAAAGTTGTCACTGACAAATGCAATCACAAAAGTCAACACCAAAAGACACCAACTGAGATTGTGGTTCATGCAAGCTGCATTTTTATATAATCATGGAAGATGGATATAGCCAGACAAAATAGCCCATTTCCTATTCATAAAGATGCCAGCAATCACCTCCGTGCTTGACTATGTAACTAATGTTAACTTCATTCTGTTTTTTTTAATTCCCGAGAAAAACGAATTATTGCTTTCAATTCAAATGCTGTATTTCTTAGAGCCCTAACATTCCAGACACTCCTGAGGCTACTAAAACAAGCTTTTACAAACCGGGTTCTGGGAGATTGATTGATTGGGTTATTTGTGACTCTAAAGTGGGAGGGGGAGGGGGAGGGAGGAAGAACTTACTCAAATATAGCCAATTTTCCAATGCTACATCTTTACTTCATGATCAGGAGTTCTGAGATTTATTTTTTTAAACAATAGGTTGTATAGCCTAAAAATGCCTACAAACCTCTGTGCTAAAGGCGTATTGTTCTATTGGTACATGTTTGTTAAACTTTATGAGAGATCATAGTCAGAATGCAATCTCTCAAATTATTTAAACAACGTTTATAAATTGACTGATTTAGGGTACTTAGTCCTAGTTTGGCCCAGGCACTCTAACAGAACATCTGCCCCATTACCTTCCAGTTGGGATTATCCCAGAATGTCAATTTTTCATGTGAATCTAGATCATAAGCACTTACTGATCAACAACCAAATAGCAATTGCAATATCACTTAAACTTATATATCGCTTCATAGTGCTTTACAGCCTTCTCTAAGCATTTACAGAGTCAGCCTCCAACAATCTGGGTCCTCATTTTGCTGACCTCAGACAGATGGAAGGCTGAGTCAACTCTGAGCCAGTGAGGATCAAACTCCTGGCAGTGAGCTGAATTATCCTGCAATACTGTATTCTAACTACTGCACCACCATGGCTCTTATATCTAGCAACAAGTTAAATATATCTAGCAACTTTTATGACTGCAAATGAATATCCCTATTTATATACAGTCCTAACTTAAGAGTGTTACATCAAAGTTACGATGGCATTGACAAAATGGTATCGACAACCAATCCTTGAAGTTATGACAGTTGCAGCAACCCTACAATAATTTGATGAAAAGTTGAATGCTTGGCAACCAATCTGTATTTATAATTGTAGAGGAAGAAGATGGTGAATATCAGATGGGGGAGGGGAGCAGTGCGCTGTGAGAGTGATAGACAGTAGTGACAGGCAACAGTGGACCGTATCCAAAAGGGCAGAGATGGGGGAGAGGTAGCAAATGAGGGGATTTGGAGTACAGACAAACATGGTATGTTGGTGGACATTGTCTGCTGAAGATCGCTTACCAGGCCCTGATGAAGAGGAGGTAGCAGGACACAATCAGCAGTTTCATGCAGGACAGGAGAAGCATGAGATCCTTGCCTAATAACATCATGTTCCTAACCTCATAACCAGGAGTACCAGAACTGCCACTGCAAAGCAGAAGAGTCACACATGTTTCACCTAATGGCTGCTTGCTTAACAATGGAAAGTCCAGTCCCACTTAGGGTCACTAAACAAGGCCTGCCTATACTTTGACTCTAAAACTTGCCAAGATTTCAAAGAGGTTGTACTTATTCTCTAAATAGATCAAAAGAGGTCAATATTCAGAAGTCTCATTCTACAAAAATATACTGTATAGTAAAGTTGAAAATCTGATTGAGTAATGCTGCTTTCATTAAATGCAATCTCAAACAGTTTGATCAAAGAAATGTATGGGGTTTGGTCTGCCATTTTTTTTTCTTTCTCTAATTTGTCTATCACAAAATAGATTACAATAACAGCAGAAAAATTAATATTTCCTCTTCGTCTAAGAATTTCATGTGAGAGCTATAAAAATTCACACAGCCACTGTAGCAAAAGAGCTCTCTAGAAACTCCAGATAATACTCTTTTTACCACCTAGTGAACATCCAGATTTTTGCAGGTCTGATTGGATACCCCAGCCTAAACAGAATTACTTCACTCAACAAAAAAGTGAAAGTTGATAGATCAGTAATTGGGATGCTTTGTATGCATGCCACTTCACGTTTAATCTCTGATATTTTCTTTAGCGAGGGCCAGTCCTACTGGGGCTACTAAACTGGGCTGATTTAATATGGAAAGGGGCAATTAGGTTACAGTAGCTCCTAATCCAAAACCTTTGGATACAGACCATAAAAAACCTTTGCCAGACCAATACAGCTAATCTTGAATACAGCTCATCTGCCTGGAATCCACACTGTATATCGGACATTAACACTATTGAGTGGGTCCAGAGGTAATTCATGAGAAGAGTACTCTACTCCTCTACTCACAATAGAATCCCTTATGCCACCAGACTTGAAATTCTGATCTTGGACAATCTAGAACTGCACCACCTGCGGTCTGATCTACACATAGTACACAAAATTGTCTGCTACAATGTCTTACCTCTCAACAACTTCTTCAGCTTCAACCACAATAATACACTGGCGAACAATCGATACAAATTCAAGGTAAACCGCTCCAAACTCGATTGCAGAAAATACAACTTCAGCAACAGAGTGGTCAATGTCTGGAATGCTCTACCTGACCCCGTTGTTACAGCCTCAAACCCTCACAACTTCAACCTCAAACTTTCTATCCTAAACCTCACCCCATTCCTAAGAGGGTCGTAAAGGGGGCGTGCATAAGCGCACCAGTGTGCCTAACCATCCCTGTCCTACTGTCCCCTTTTATTTGTATTCATTTCCCTCGTTCATGTCCATGTTCATATTCATAACTGCTATCTTGTACATATTTGACAAACTAATAAATAAATAAAATAAATAAATCCCAGTCCAGCATGTACGGAAGGTTTCTTGGTGTGCAACCTACTTTCTGTGGGGAATGCCAAAGAGAGATGCAGAGCTGGATTTCCATTTCACAAACCACAACTATTTCTCCTTGGACCTACTGCATGTGAACTGGATTACCGATAAGCAGCCCACTCACTGACTGTTTTCCAAAGTATGCATAAAACAAGGTGCCTTTGGAATACATACAGAGATTGCTCCAAAGAGAGCTGCTGTGGAAGCAAAATACGGTGCTTAGGAATGCAGAATGAGGAATGAAGGGGGGAAAAAAGCAGGTCACAAGCAGCATCACTGGGGATTTGTTAAAGGAACCTATGGATAAAAGCATAGCATTAGCACTCCCTAAATAGATTGCAGTAAGTCAAACTGCACAAAGGAGAGAATACGTGAGTTTATATTTAACTGAGCTCAGTTTATTTACTTCTAGAAAAAATTTATAATCATCACAAGGCTCATTAACATTGATTTTCAAAGTCCCCATCTGAAATGAATGTGTCCTTGGCATTTGAATATATGAAGCTCTGATATTAATGGGCAGTTGGAACCCTTCCACGTATATTCTCCAGATGTGTATTAGTTTACATGCAGAGCCAGACAAAAGATTTATCTCCTGAAAATGACAGAACCTGCAGAGTGATTAAAAAATAATGCCAGGCTACCTTACAATGGCATAGCAAGATAACTCTTCTGCTAAAACTTAAAGGTACACAGGATTATTCAGAATCCAAATAACCTGTCAGCCTATAAAAAGAGCAGGTAACCACACTTTTCCTTCTTAACTAGGCACCAAAGGTTGAGTGCATATCACACAGCAGTCACAATGCAGAAATATCTCACAAACATCTATCTGGTGTTGAAAGGATTTAGATCCACTGTCTGTGCTTTTGAAAAGACTGCAGATATCCTGCACAAATGTTTTCCTGAATGTGGATTGTTTAGGCATTTAAATCCTACCTGTCAAAGAATTTATATCATGGAAAAAAACTTACCAAACCTTAGCATCAGCTTCAGAGGAAAAACATTATTTTGAGTTCAGCAGTAATTTCTTTGATAGGCCATGGCTGATGAATGGAAATTATTCCTCCAGACTTGTAGAGAACATTCTGCACAGGGTAAAGACTGAGATATTCAGTGGAATAAGAAAAGAAATACTGAATTATCTCCAAGCATCCTTAATTAATATTTAGAATCTGCTACGAAAAAAAATCTGTCGTGGCACATATGAACAGTTATAGTATTTCTTGTATTTGTTGTCAGTTATTTATTAAACGTCAGAAAAGATGGTGGGTAAAGACACGAGGAAGTAGAAAAATATGGAAGCAATTGAGGTGAAAATAAAAATGGTAGAACTTGGAGGAGGACATAGCAGATGGGAAAAAATGGTAAGGTCTGGCAAGAATGTTAGCTGGAAAAACAAAAATATTCCACTACATATGTAAAAATAGATATATATTATTTTTAAGGCATTTATCTGGAAATTATGTTTACCTGTCCCTCTCCTTCCTCGCATCTACTCCCTCTCCATATATTATATTGGGAAAATATCAGAACAATTTTTTGGGGGGAAGGAATGTTATGAAGGGGGGGGGATAAAGAAGGGGGGGCGAATGGATGAAGGATAGAGGAGAAATGGGAAAACAGGAATGATAATCTTTTAAGAGGTCATTGATTCTGTTAACTTTCAATGGCATACCTTCAAGGATTTCACAGCAATACAGTTCTGAAATATTCCTCTTTTAATAAGGAATTCCTCTTTTAACTTTCCTCTTTTAGGGTAGAGATAGCAGGGGTCACAAAGGCAGAGAATGGAAGCTAAATTGTGCTGAATAAATGAAGAAACTGTCCCAATCCAACTGAAAATATTAAACATGTTTGTTTGTTTTTCTAAATTAAAAGTTGGCTCCTACATTTCTACTTGCTTTTCTGGGTGAAGGCTTGGCATGATCCTGAAGAAAAAGCAGAAAGTGTTTGCCTATATCTGATCACTGGGTTTTCTGAGAAGCAGAAGGGTTGAGAAAGCTGGTTAACATGCTTACTCTTTCCAGGGAGGAAAAAAAACCCTCATTTTTTTTTTATTTTTTACTTTTAGTGGAGCACCAGGTTGGGCAGGTTTAGCAAACTAGATTCTTCTGAGATAAATTTTGAATAAAGTTATTTTATCCTTCAATTGCAGCGTTGTTACCTCTCATCCCTGGATTTTCTGAGGTGCCAAGAGTGTTGCCCAATCTGGCTCTTCCTGGGAATGTCCTTTTCATCACTGGCAGGCAGCACTCAATTGCATCAGTGGGCTGCTGATATGATCCTATGAGAATTAGCAAGTCATAGAGCTAGGAAAGCTATGGAAAAAGAGAATAATCTGCCTCAATCATATAACTTGCTGGGAGGTACCAGGTTGGGGGAAGGCAAGCGTGGATTCTTTGATTAATCAAAAACATTAGTAGACTTAGTTTGTTGTTTGAATTATAATAATTAGTTTTCAGTTTTTATGGAAAACAGATTTTTTAAAAAACATTTTTTTAAAAAAATAATGTTTGTGATTTTATTTTTTCTTGTTAATGTTTTTTACTCACAAGTCACCCATAAGTCACTCATAAGTCAGTGATTGGGAGTTAGGTGGCAGGCAAATTTTAGTAGTAGTAGTAGTAGTAGTAGTAGTAGTAGTAATAATAATAATAATAATAATAATAATAATAATAATAATAATAATACCCAATACCAATACCCAAAGGGCTACCCCACTATTTAGAGATTCTAAATTTACCAGATTTGAACATTTTGACTCTACAAAAAACCACTTTACTCGGAACAGCTTACATCCTCCGACGATACCTTAACAGTTCTTAGGTCCTTGGTTAGGACTCGAGCTGCTGAACTATTAACCAGCCTCAAAGGCTGTGAATCTCACTAAAGATTAAATAATAATAATAATAATAATAATAATAATAATAATAATAATAATAATAATATCTCTTTAAACTATAGTGCTCTAAAACAAACATAATCCCTACATTCAACATGGATAAAGTGAAGTCTTTCAAACAATATTTTCTTTGTTAAAAGTTCAAATTGATATAACAAGGAAGTACAAGTTTGATTTCCTTCCAGTGGAATTTTTTTTCTTGGAGGCAAATTAATTTTTTAAAAAATGTCTTTAAAGGTTTCTTTCAGCTTTATTTAAGATGTATTTTTCAGCAAGACCTGAAACATTTAGGAATTTTTTCTTGTACCATGATATCATAACAAATACCTCGGTTTGAAGAAAAGGACCTACATTAATATCTTTCAGTTTTGTATTCCTCAAGGACATCATCTTCTTTTTGGAGAAATAGATTCATTTAGTCTTGTGATTTCTAATTAGGCAACTTGGGAAAAAAATCATAAACAAGGAATCTATGACTCTCCGAGTTTGACACACACACTGCATCAGCAAGGTATTATGACTTTGGCATGATATAAACAGCCAATGCTGAACTATATGTTCATATTGACATGCATAATTCAAGCTGTCATTTGTACCATAATGAAACAGCATACAATCCAACACAGAAGTGTGTCATCCTATGGAAAATTAATATCACAAGCTATGAATCTAAAGTCTCTCCTTAATGAGGAAATTTTAGAATATCTTTGAAAGTGAATAATTGTAAAGGGTTGGTTTTGGTGTGTGTGTGTGTAATGTTAGTGTTAATCATATGTTTTGGTATTATTTTATGTTTTCTGGATCATGTTTAATTGTTATGATCCAAAATTGTTGTAACACAGAATTGTTGTAACTCAGAATTTGTATTTATGTATACATAAAGGGGCATACATTAACAAAAAGCTTAACTCAAATAAACTCCTATTCCTCCTCAAAATAACTGCAGCTGTGCCTCTATGGTTTCTGATAATGTTGTTAGACTATAGACTTTCTGCATGAAAGCTGAAGGATACCTTAATTCATGAAACATTTTGCATTGTTAAATTGAACCAACAGCATTAAAGCAGTATATGCATTTATGTATGGTACCCCCATCTCAAATTTTATTTCAGCTATGGCCAAGAAGAAATATATATATTGCATTTCTTGGTGTATGTGTGACTCTTGGGATATTGGGATATTGATATTGTATTCAAAGATAAATGCCAGTTTTGTGCTTGAGTTGTGTGCATTTGTTATGACTCCCTATTTGTTGATGCAGAGATAGTGAAGCTGCATAGATCTTTACAACAAAGCACCTATGTTGAACCACTAGAAAACTCTGTTCATAATGAGCCTCTCGGGCTGGATATCCTGTAGAAGGGAGATCAGTGTAGCATGACCTGACAAAGGCCCCACCTGCCTGTTCTGTTATTTGACTGAAAGGAAAAACAAATATATTATGCCAGGTCTGTTCAGAGAGAAAAGAAGCAAAGGAAATTTATCTCTGTTGCTCAGATAATGGGAGATATAAATGCCTTTTTCCTCCAACAGAGCTGATGATTGGCAGTGCTTTCATCCTTTTGTCTACAAAGAGATAAGAAATGGGAGGGAGGGGACCCTGCAGATGAGGATCACTTAGTCTTTCCCTTAATTAAAGCTTTGCTAGAGAAAGCTATTAGGCAGTGAAAATAGGAAAGGGGAAATAAGACATGAAAACTTTGTTTTGGAGCAGATTAAAATGGGATAATGAACTGTGATAATAATCATGTTGCCCAGGTGCTCAGAGCTAAATCTGATAATTGTGGCCTGAAAAAGGCTTCTGCTTAAACTGAGATCCCAAAATTAAAGCTCAGCCAGGTTTTGGAGAGAGAGAGAGAGAGAGAGAGAGAGAGAGAGAGAGAGAGAGAGAGAGAGAGAGAGAGAGAGAGAGAGATTCATTTCAGATTTTCATTTAACTTCGTCACATAGAAATCATTACAGTATTGTATTTTCTATTAGACTGATACCTCCAAATATATTTTCACATCAAATATGTAATAAACATCTTCTAACATGTATAATTTGAGTGCTTATGCCTCTTGTGTACCATTGGTCTTGCCTATCAAAGCCTTTACTCTTAATTTTTTGGCATGCAAATGGGTTTTAGATTTGATTTCATAAAAATATGATTAGAAACATCCATATTCTTTCAAGAGAATCCTTCTGTGAAATGGGTTTCATCTACAGTGTCATATTCCCTTCACTGGTGGTTTTTTGTTTGTTTGTTTGTTTATTTGTTTGTTTGTTTGTTTTTGTTTTTTGTCACAGCCAACATCTTAGTGATTTTCACTTAGAATTAATGGGCATGAGTGGGAGGCCAATGCAAAACAGAATAGAGCCTCTGAATTTTAAACTGTAAATCTATAAAAAAGGAATAACCGTTGATTTTCCCTTTTGGCACAGCTATTAAAGATAATAAAATCCTGTCCTCTTTTGCACCTTAATACTGAAAATATAATGTGATCAATATTCTATTAAGAACAAAGAGGTCAAATGTTTCTAGAACAGAACAGAGGATAGAAAATATCTTCAGATGAAAATGGCCTAATTTATTATTTGAGAACAATAGCAAGGTGGCATTTTGAACAATGCAGCTTCTTGAAGTCATAGAAAACATCAGGATTTTATCGTAAGGACAATGTTTTATTACTGTTACAAAACACAGCCAATGTCAGGTTACCGCAAATATAGAGCATTTGGGAAAAAAATTAAATCATTATTTCATGATTTTTTCTTTAATGATGCCTCCCAGAATTAGGCTGTCATTTTAGTTCTTTCCCTCCATGGGGACTAAACACAAGTTGGTATTATTACTACTGACTTACACTTACAAAAGAAATGAACAAAAATAATTAGATAAGGTAGTAATTAGAATGATAAACTCTTTAATGGGTACGTATTCTAAATTGCTACTTTTAGAAAGGTCTCTTTTCAAGAAAAGCTTCCAAGCTGAGCAGAAAGTTATTATATATATATATATTATATATATCACAGGAAGACTCTGCATATGATCAGCTGGTGAATTCATGGCAATTATCTCAGTTCCATTGTGAATCTTCAGTGGTAGCATATCTCTGCCTCTAGCAAGACAACACAATTGTTTCATTATCAAAAGAGATCCATTTTTTAATTTGATGAATGCTGGGCCATAGTAACCATGAAAAGAAAAACAATCTTAACATAACACTTCAAAATTAATGCTCATACATAATTCAGAAAA